CTTAATCTTTGAGACAAGCATATGACTACTGGCAGGATCAACCAGATAACTATCTTGAAAGTATGTTCTCCGAGGGGTCGTCGAAGACTAGCCTCAACACCCCCCCAGAAAACACCCTCGTAGATATTGAATGTTAACTCGTTGAAACAACGAATTAAGCACAGATCACAAGGACAGAAAAACAATTACCTTGTCTCTCTCTCCTCTGCCCGCAAAAGCAGACACCACCAGGCAGAATTTCACCCAGCAGCAGCCCACCCTGCAAGCACTAAGTTCTCTAATCACTTAATTCTTGCCATAGCACTCTTTGAGTTCCTCATGCAGAGAGTCCACCAAACACTGTCCCGGTGTTTCACAGAACAAAGGTTTGATATCACCCGCAAGAGAGGAGGTTACACTAGACAAATCACAGTCAAAACGAATAAACGTAGCAGACCGGCTATCTGTCCAGGCATTCCCCCAAATTAGAATTCTTTGAAATAGATTGCTATCAGCTAGTAATCCACCAAATCCTTCTCTGCTCACCCATGGAATCGCAAGATGTCCAGGATGAGACTGTTCAGGCGTCCGCAGCTTCCCCTTTGCAAGAACAAAGGTTACGCCGCTTCGCCCATGTCAAGCTCGCTGTATAGGGACTGAGCAGATCTGACGATCACCCAGCGACCCTCTCCACCGATTGACGAGGCCATATTCAAGCACAAGCTCTACTCGAGCTCGTTTCCGAACTCTTTCAAACTTCACTTTCAACTGCTTTCGCATGAAGTACCCCCGGACCGAGCTTGCTCTTCGGCCTGGCTCGAAAAGTAGCCAAAGGGCCCGACATCTGGCATCTGCAGTCCACTTTGAACAGCTCGAGGCCTCCCCGTCCTGCTCCAGCAGCAACACGCGAGCCTCAGGCCCAGATCCGGCCCTCGAAATCCCAGGGTCGCCCGACACTTTGCGAGCCTCCCACAGGTGCTGTCCCCAGAAACGCCCGCACAACCACGCCCTTAACTATGGCTTTGGGCCCCGGCACTCGGCACTCGGCTGCGAAAAATAAAACGTGTGCCGTCGCACGTGGTCACATGGCCGCCCGCGCACTCCGCACGTCGCCCCGCCCCCGGATTTCCGCCCATGACTCGCATGACTCGCGGGTAAACCCGCCCGCCGCACATCATTACCCAAAACGGACACTTAAGTACCCGTCACAGGTGACACAGTGACTCACGACTCACGTCCCCCGCACGCAAAAACTCCAGCCCCAAGGGCGAGCCCTCGGAACCCCGTAACACTTCCGAACCTAAAATCGGGTTTGGGGTTTCTGAATTTTCGCTTCACGATCCGCAACTAAAAACACCACCCTGCCATACAAATATCGCCCGTACCGGCCACCCTACCCCGCAAAGTGCCCCATTTCCGCCGCAGATCATCCGCTTCCGCGCCCCGGCAACTTCTCGGTCTTGCATCCCCCATCTTCCCAGCCACCATTTTACCAATCCCGGTATTCTCCCGCCCACTTTCCCCACTCCGAACACTTGTCCGATTTCTCGTACTTCAAAATTGATGTTTAGGTACCATATCACTACCTTCCACCATACTAACAACACACATCCATACACTCAACATATACTCCCACAGAATAAACAAACACAACCTCCGCAATCCGCCAACCATTACCAACGGAAATTACCGGATATTGTACAACTATTTCTAGACCGGTGTGGGTATTTCGGCTGCAGGGCCCGGAGCACCCGAAACGGCCATGTCACCACCCCAAATCGCCGATTCCACCCCCGGGGACCCCGCCAACCGCCCCGTTTCTCAGCTCCAACGAATCGAGCCGTCCGAACTCCATCCACTGCCACCATAAAAACCCACACCTGCCATACAAACTTCCGACCCTACCCCCCCAGCCCGACACCACACCACCCTATTTTCCACCATCCACACCCCCCATACACCAACTTTTGCCAGTGGTTTTCGAAACTACCCTGCAAAACACCCCCACACACACCCTAACACCCCCCGGTTGCCATACAAAAAGTTTCCCAAAAGTGTTCCTGAAGTTGTTTTGCCGGTCGTCTTTTCTGACTCCTCCCGTGACCGCTCCCGGGCCCTCGCCTCTGACTTCTTCTGTGTGTGACCGCTCCCGGGCCTTGTCACTAGCCACGCCCCTTCCCACAGCACCGACCTACCCAGGCTTGGTCCTACATACCCTTTTTTTTTTTACGATCTTTCGGTTGCGGCCATATCCACAAGAAAGCACCGTTTCCCGTCCGATCAACTGTAGTTAAGCTTGTGAGAGCCTGACCGAGTAGTGTAGTGGGTGACCATACGCGAAACTCAGGTGCTGCAATCTCTTTTTTTTTTTAATTTTTTTTGCCAAAATCCCAGATTTCCCCAGAACAGCCCGCACCAGGGTTCGAATCCAGGCCAGATTAATTTTTTGTACGGGCGAGATCATGAAAAAGACATGTGACATATATCGCCACCTACGTGACATACTGTATTTTTTTGGTTTTTCGCCACAAACAAAGAGTGAAAATTTTCAACGTCGACGTCGACGTCGGTTTTGGGCCATCGCAAAGAGCCTCCAAATGGGTATTTCCAAGACCTGGGGAGACCAAAAGTGGTCCGATTTCAACACAACTGGTTCACACACCACCATAACAGACCCCGACAAGAACAATTGACCACCTTACAGTGCACCAACACGCACTCCCAGAGAGAAATCAGCACATGAAGCACGCAGACATCGACTAATGCAAGAGTGACAAGAATGGATGATCCCGCCTCAAGAGGGATGGAAGGTACATCAAGCAATGAAGAAACAGACCAATTGACCTCCGCAGATTACACAGGTGTAACAATAATGGCTATATCTCTAGAACTCGTCAAGATGTCTCCAGAATCACTACTTTTTGGCATCAAAAGTTGATGAGATCGAGCAAGAAACAAGACAAAGCGACAACTAAAACAAGACAATACACCACAATACAATACAAGAACAACTACAGCTTCCACTCCCACAGCTCAAAACCTCAGAATACTAAACCACATCCCCCAAAAAAACAAACCAACACTCTCTTGCACTTTACAACAAATCCTTATACACATAAACCCAACAACCTCTTTTGTAACCGCCTCTTACATCAGCATTTGTAATCCAATCTCCAATCTCCAATCTCCAATCTCCAATCCCAATCCCAAACCCTAACTCTAACTCTATCTTGCATGCCACCCTCGTTCCACACTTTCTCACCACTCCTCCCACAGTTTCCCACCACCACCCATTGAAACCACCGTAGCAGACGCACGCATGCATCGGAAAAACTCGTCTTTTTCGCCGCACGCAAAATGCGCGAATTAAAAAGGCGAAAAAAAGAAAAACTTTTTCATCGTAAACAAACAACTTTTCTTCTTCTCGCTTCTTTCGCCTTCCAATTCCCCTCTTCCAATTTTTCCATATATAAACCAGCCTCTTCCAAAACCATCTCCCTTGTCTTCCCAATTCCCAATGCCACCAACAGGAGATGCCCGTGTGGGTATTCTCTGGTTATCGTCCCAAGGCAAAGAGGCAGCAGAGCAGCAGAGCAGAGCAACAGTGCAACAGTGCAAAGTGCAAAGTGCAGCAGTACATACTAACAAAATACAACAATTCAAACCAACCACCGCAAATACATACCCCTCCCCCCATTGACAACTACACCACCGTGTTCCCCGCAAAATTCTACACACATCCCATATCTCCCAAATTTTTCACTTTTTCCACCATTTCCCGCCCCCAGCACTACCACAATACCACCTACCCGCCCATCCATATCACTCCCACAACACCCATGTCACCACCCCCTCACTCGTCACATGACACTCCACACGTACTCCACTCCGGCACCCCGCACTCCCCCCTGAATCACCCCATGACTCACCCCGCACTCCACGACTCACCCGCCCTGAATCACCCCCATACGCTCAAACACCGCTCAAACACCGCTCCACCCCTCCACCTCACCCTTGGCACGAATACCCAGAGATACCACACGTGCTCTCATTCGTAGATGTAGATGTAGGACCAGACGTAGCATACCCCCCTCCAGCTCCCTCCCCCAAGCACTATTAAAGCCAGACCGGCCGCCCCCGAACAACTGTGGCCTTTCGGGGACCGGCTTTTTCAATTCACCACAGTCCTCCACGTAAACATCCGTCCCCGAGAACAACTCTCGCCTTTCTGTCTCGAAAATCTTAGCCCTCGCACCCTCAACGGCCCTCTCCAGCACGCGACCCCACCGAAAATTTTTCACACGACATGCATGTATATGCAAGCCTGCATGATGGGGCATCGCAGAGGTCCAGCCCACCACACA